TGTATGTGTATGATAACGCCGATGATGGTGACGACGATGGCAGCGTCTGGTTTACCTTCTAGTACAGCGGTTCTGAGTCCAGTGGCTGAGCCGCCCATCCTTCGCAGCATCGTGGGCGAAGCGGGGATGGGCCCGTTCGTGCTCGGCCGTTCGTGCTCGGCGGCTCGCCGTGGGGTCGACGGGGATGTCGTGCAGGACGGAGCTGGCGGCCTCGCGCTCGCGCGAACTGAGCCCTCCTTGTCCGCCCTTGTCTCGCTGCTCCGCAGCAGAGCCTAGGGCGAGGGGGCGCGGCGCTGCGCGCAGAGGGGGGGGTCGTCTTCTTCAGCGACGCCGTGCTCATCGACGGCGCCCTCCCACAAACAAAAATTCAGCGACGAGGAGCTTTCAGCGGGTCACTCGGTATGCCAATCGCGCACGGGCGTGTCAGGCTGCTGGGCCGACTTGCAGGTAACCTCAGCTGCAACACGCATTCAACACGCTCTTTCCGACGGCCCTCTCTCTCTTTCCCTCTCCTTCTTTATATATATATATACAAACAGGCAGGCAGACAGGCAGACAGACAAGACAGACAGACAGACAGACAGACAGACCGACCTACATGCATATGTGTGTATGCATGTATGTGAATTCATACTGGTTTCAGTCGTTTGCGGTCACTTACTTCTATTTCCGCTTACTTGGCACGCATTTGGCGCGCCCATGGAGTGTAATTGACGTCTCTACGTATTTGACTTGCGTTTGCATGCTCAGCGCGCATTTGGTACGGCTCCTGTTGTTTGGTGCCTGTTTCAAGCAGGTGGAGTCTTTCCCCCATGGGACGCACTGTTGCAAACAGTCGCATCAAGCAGTGGTCCGGAGCCACCCCCCCCCTCCCTCCCTGTCCGCCCAATCTCGAAACGCCACATAAAAAACGTTGACGTGCTTGTCCCAGCAACCGCTTCCGTGCCGACGGACTGCGCTTCGCTAGCGCATCCCACGTTCCCGTGCCTGCATGCGGCGGCTGCAGCTCGGCACAAGCACGGCTGGCAAAGCGAAGCCACTCCAGGCCAACGAGCACATGATGAGAGGGGGAGGGAGGAAGTCCCCAATCCTCCTCGCACACCCCTGGGAGGCCTAGACGCCCCAGCCCAAAGCGAGTGAAGACGCGCGCGCGCGCCGCGCCAAGGCAAGGCTTGGCGCCTGTTGGCGCTGGCGGGGGGTTGGCAGGGGTGCAAGGGGCCAGGGTCACGTTCGTCCTCCCCCTCGTTCTCCGCCATCCTCGTCCTCGCTTTCTCTAGCTCCAGCGTCCTCCGTTGCCCCTGGCGTTCCACGCCTCCCCCTCCCCCCCCCCCTCCACACTCCTCGTGGTTCCCCAGTCGCTCTCTCCCCTGTCTGTTTTTCTTGACATATCATTCTCTCAGTGCTCTCTGCTTTACTCCGCCCTCCCCTTCCCCTTCCTCGTCGTCCTCCTCCCCCTCGTCCTCCCCCTCGTCGTCTTCCTCCTCTCCATCCTCCTGCACCTCCTCCTCCTCTTCCTGCTCCTTCACCCTCCTCCTCGACCGCCCCCCTCTCGACGACGACGACCTGCGACGACAGCGACGACCGCGACGACAGCTACGACGACATGCGACGATCTGTGACGGCAGCGGCGGCGACGGCGACGGGCGACGAGGACGGGCGACGACGGCGGCGGCAGCATGCGGCGGCGGCGGCGAGGCACGACGTCGGACGGCGGGCGGAGGCGGGCGGCCGTGGTGCATCCCGCGCCTGTCAGGGGCGCTGGGAGGTCGCATCCCTCGGGCGGGCCTCGATGATGTCGCTGCAGGTCGATCCAGAGGACGGCGCGGCGGCGCCCTCTTGGGCGGGGACGACGACAGTGGCGGCCACACCGACCGCAGCGGCACCCGACGGCGGTTCGGCGAACACGACGACCTCGGCGGCGGCGGCGATAGGCGAAAGCGGCGGCGGCAACGAGCACGACGTCGGCGGCGGCGGCGGCGTCGGCTGCGGTGGCGGCGGCGACAACGGAGGCCACAGCGGCGGCGGCGCGCCGGCGGCGACCGGCGACGGCGGCTTGGACAGCGCGCGGAGCACCGAGAGGCCACCGCGGGTCGTCCCGGAGGGCGGCGCCGAGCCTCCCTGGTGGTGGTGGGGGGAGGCGGCGGCGGGAGCGTGGCCAGACACCTGCGGTTCGGATCGGGGGAGGGTCGAGGGCCGAGGCTGGGTGCTCTCTGGAGTGAGCGGGTGCGCGAGGAGGGGGAGGAGGAGGAGGAGGAGGAGGAGGAGGAGGAGGAGGAGGAGGAGGAGGAGGAGGAGGAGGAGGAGGAGGAGGAGGAGGAGGAGGGAGGAGGAGGAGGAGTAGGAGGAGGAGGAGGAGGAGGAGAGGAGGAGGAGGAGGAGGAGGAGGAGGAGGAGGAGAGCAGGAGGAGGAGGAGGAGGGAGGGGGGGGGGAGGAGGAGGAGGAGGAGGAGGAGGAGGAGGAGGAGGAGGAGGAGGAGAGGAGGAGGGCAGGAGGAGGAGGGAGGGAGGGGGGAGAGGAGGAGGAGGATGGAGGAGGGAGGAGGGAGGAGGGAATAGGGAGGAGGGAGGAGGGAGGAGGGAGGAGGGAGGAAGGAGGAGGGAGGAGGGGGAGGATTGTTGTCCCCTGCTAGCCCTGAGGCGTGACCGAGGTTACACAACGTTAGTCTGTGCTGCTGGCAGCCTTTGCTGCTGCCTCTCTGGCCTGGACGCGTGCGAGCAACGCACGCATTCCAGGAGTCGACACCAAGCCCTCGAGGCCAGCTGCCGAAGTCGCAGCGTCGGGCGGAGGAGGGGCGGTGGCAGCATAGCACAGATAGCTGACTCCTCGCCGTGAGGAGCCCGAAACACGATCATCCTCGTTCCTGTAATGAGGATACAAACCAAACACAATTCTCGGCAGTGTAGTCTTGGCGCCCGCGAGCTTGCGTCCAAAACATTCTGGACCGAGCTTGAAGCACTGCTGTGCAGAGTGGACTCCGCACGTCGTGCAGACAAATCATACTCAACTTCTTGTCGCGACGCACGACGACAGTCTGGGCCAACGTGTGGCCCTTACTAAAATCTACCACACATTGCCACGTCTTGCTGGGTCCTTTGCAACCCAGCATTGTGCGCGACTCTGGGTCCCGCGAAAAAATTAGGCACCGCAGGCACCTGGCACAGTTGTCGTCCAAATGCTCCCAGTGGTGCCACCCTCCAGACTTCAAAAACTTACATCTAGGCCCCAGAGAGTCCCTTTCGAGTCGCTCCGAGGGGAAAACAAACAAAACTTTGGCCGCGACTCGGGCCGCGAACACTAACTTATCCAACCTGTCACTAACGTGTTTCCACTGTTCATCGGTCGGTTAAGGATGGTGGAGGAGGGCTTGCCTAGCTAATGAATCGGCCAGCTGATTACCTACACCGATTCTCCTCTGGGGCCCAGGGAGGCCGTCGAGGACTTCTTGGGACCCGTGGGCGGCGGCCTGGATAACTTGAAACGAGTGGTCCTTCTTCTCATGGAGTAAGGCACCTCTTCTCATATCCCCGTACCTATGCTTCCTGGACTGCTGGTGACACGGGTCGGTGTTACAAAGCTTGGTGACGGTATCACCGTCAGAGTATCGATCTCCGCTGTATTCAAAACGTGGGGGCGACCGCCATAGCCTGAAGCTCGGCAGCCTGCGGCGTCTGGTGCAGCACGTCCCACACCGTTCCTTCAGCATAGGCCACAACATTGCCTGGGCTGTCCAGGAAACCCAGGCATACGCAGCTCGAGACAAGTCTCTTATGACATGTCGTGAGCAAGGCCCATCCATACAAATGCCGAGACATTTCAAATCCAGGGGGTCCCGGGGGATAACATTACCGCAGGGGGTCGTGCAGAACAGGATTGGGGTTGTTACTTGGAGGAGGGAGGTTGGTCCCAGGATGGTGCCAATTGGGCTCGTCCCAGAACGCGCGGTCATCACTGTCGACAGCCTCCCTCAACCACTCGGGGTGATCGGCCGCAGCTTGCTCACGCGCCTGTACAGCGTCAGCATGCTGGCATCCCCAAAGACGATGCTTCACACCGTCGGGCTCGCCGCACAGCGGGCACTTGTCGTCGCTGTTGTAACCTGCAGCCTTGGCCCTGGTGCGTGCCCACACACCTCCACAACAACAAATGATGGCCATATATTTTCCCGCGAGGTGAGTTTCTTGGACCCAGGGCCCAGAAGTTGGACCAGGGGTTCCGTGCACACCCGAGAATCTTCAAAGCCAGGGTGGAGCTCAACAAGAACCCTTTCATGATGCCTCTGGGTTCCACGTTCCAGGAGCTGGCCGACGAGGGAAGGCGAGTTAAAGCCGAGGTGAACAACTCTATCGAAATCGTCAAGCCACGTCAGAGCCGAAGTGGAGCGCCATCCGATACGATTCAGTGGCAAGTGCATTCCCTGGATGGGCCAACGAGAGCTCTTCCAAGACAGCTCAGGGCCGTGGGGGGCGGCGCTCCACATCTGGCACAACTCCTTCACACTATACATTGAAGTGCTAGGGCTCGTGAGAGCACCCACACAACATGAGACCAGTGCAAGGCTGGCGCCACTCCAGCCCTCCATACAGGGTCTCCACAGAACGCTAACTTGGCATGGAGGGGGGTTCCCTTGTGGTAGGGTGGCTCCTATAAGACAATAACACCCTCTGAGCCTTCTTCATTTCCTGGTCATCCATGCCAACTATAGCGGACCCGAAAGTAGCAGCAGGTACCACGCCTGTCAAAATCCAATGCCGGGCAGACATGTCGCGAAACCTCTGTTTTCGTTGCCACAAAGCGTGTTTAGCCGAACGATTTTGACCCACGGCGAGATCCGTGCCGAGCACCACTGCGCTGTTGGTGACGGTGCCAGCCAGACCCCCGAGCAGCTTGCCGAGCCTGCGCGCGAGGGGCAGCGAGTTGGCGAACGTCGTGATTTTGTCAGCCCGCAACTGCACGTGCAGGTAATCTCGAAACACTATGAACATGGCCGCTGCAGCCTTGGACATCCTATCAAGAACCTCGATATCACTGTCACCTTCTGTTGTGAGTGAGTCGTCATCTACATGCGAACTGAGCTGCGCCAGCGGGTGATCACGAGTGAGCTGATCGAAACCTTCAATACTGTAAACCCTCGCGTACAAATCGTTGAAGATGTCACCCGCTGGCAGTCCAGACATCGCAAAATATAGCGTAGCAGAGTATTGCGGACCTAGACGAAGCAGCCTGTGACCCCTCCAAAAGTTGTGGATAGTTTTCACGATAACATGGTTAAATCCATGGGCCAGGGCGTGGGTCCTGAGGAGTTCCAAATCAAAACTTTCATCGTACTTGGTTCCATCCCAGATAACTCCAGCAGCGACGCGTCCTGTGTGAGCCGAGATTTCAGCTCTGGCAGCCTGGTGCCACGCCGCTTCTTCAGCACTGCGTCCAGGTCCAAACGCCCAGAACCTACGAGGATAATCTTCATTGAACCTCAACAGGAGGGGTATCCGTAAGCGCTCCCACACTCTGACAGGTCCCGCACGCAACAGAATGGGTCGGACACCCCCCTTCGGTTTCTCGAGGAGGGGGAAGAGCATCCGGAACAATTGCTTGGGGAAAAGTCCGAGGCTCTCCACGGCCTGAAACAAGGTCGCCAACGTTTCAAGGGCCGCGTCCGACACCGGCGACAATTTTTTTGGGTGAAGTTTGTCTCACGATTGGCTCGCGCTGGCCGAAAAGGACGCACTGGCGCTCCTAATATCGGCGGCCGAGGCACGGGGGAGGCGATCACGGTCAGGCACTTCAACAAGCGCTGGCTTGACAGAGGCATGCCAGAAATTGGCATGCGTTTCACCCTCAACCCTCAAGAGCTTCTGGGGGCCACTACTAAAAGTACCTGGGTGGACCTGGACGACCGTGGGGTTCCACTTCTGCTAGCATTTCGCGAGGCGTTACATGGCCCGAGCTCCCCCTTTTTACGCTTTCTCTTGCCATTCACCCCAACTGTCCTGCGTGGCCTTCCAGAGGCCCTGGTCGGCAATGACGTAATAATAATAAGAAGAAGAAGAAGAGGTGGAGGAGGTGAAGGAGGAGGAGGAGGAGGACGGAGGGGGACGGAGGACGGAGGAGGGAGGAGGAGGAGGAGGAGGAGGAGGAGGACGGAGGAGGAGGAGGACGGAGGAGGAGGACGGAGGACGGAGGAGGAGGAGGAGGAGGAGGAGGAGAAGAGGAGGAAGAGGAGGAGGAGGAGGAGGAGGAGGAGGCGAGGAGGACGAGGAGGACGAGGAGGAGAGGAGGAGGAGGAGGAGGAGGAGGAGGAGGAGGAGGAGGGAGGAGGACGGAGGACGGAGGACAGAGGAGGAGGAGGAGGAGGAGGAGGAGGAGGAATTTGAGCGTCGGCGCGACTCTCTTGGCATCGACTCATCAGCGCATCAGCGCATCAGGAGGAGCAGGAGGAGGAGGAGGACCGAGGCAGGGGGCGCGAGGTTGCAGCAGCTGCTCGCGTCCCGCAGCCCGGGCCCGCGGAGCCGTCCTTGCTCCAGGGGGCGGCGCGAGGGCGCGGAGCCGTTCTTGCTCCAGGGGGCAGCGCTCCGCGAGGCGCGCAGCGCGGAGCGGCAGCCTCAGGACTTCGCCTGGGGCCCGACGTCGTTCGAATACGCTCGCGATGGAATCTGCCCAGGAGGCCTCAGGCTCACACGCGCGACCGATCCACGACTGGCGGCGGCGCGAGGGCCCGAAGGCGACCGCGCCCCGCGAAGCGCGCAGCGCGCGGAGCGGCGGCCTCCTCCGGCCTCCGCCGGGGGCCCGGCCCACCCGACGTCTGGCGCACCTGGCAT